CCCCCCCCCCCCAAAAAAAAAAAAAAAAAAAAAAAAAAAAATATATATATATATATATATATATATATATATATATATATATATATATATATATATATATATATATAATTTTAGTAAATCCCCCAAAGGTCCATCAAATTTCAAGAAATCTGCTGGACATAAACTTCAGTATGTGCATGATTTATCTTGGTCAGTTTGTAAGAAAATTATGTTTTTTATTTGCTCCAAATGGCCTACATGGCATTAAAGGCACAATTGCACATTTAACAAAAAGTTGTTGAACACTTGAACATATTTCTCTTTGGGGATTTCCCCGATTTTTGCTGTGATTGCTGCCTTCAGTTCACCAATTGTTCGAGGCTTGTTTTGGTATACATTATCTTTGAGATATCCGCACAGATAAAATTATGGGTTGTTTAAGTTTGGTGGATGCAGTGTCCACTCAATGTCACCGGGCCACTCAATTGACGTCAAATTACTCCCTATCCTGGATAAGAGAGCAATATCAGGTGCAACTGATCTATAAAGCCCCCTTTACACTGGACAGCGTCCTTTCTGTGTCCAGCAGCACGGCCCCATTTGAGAGTTTAAAAATTATAATATTTTACGTGCCAACAACTGGTCTATCATTGAGCATTCATTCTGATACAAAGTCAATGCTCGTGCCTCCTTATTAAGACCACAGCGATGCCAAATTCCATGGTTGCAGAAAGGACGCAGAAAGGAAGCCGTCCAGTGTAAAGGGGCTATAAAGGGTGTGACCTTGAGTGGGCATCGCATTTACCAGACTTGAACCTCCCAGATTTTTATCTGTGAGGGTATCTCAAGAAAAATCAAGACAATTGGACAACTATTACATAAGATCAGTTGTTAGCTTACAATTACTCATTACCAAAGGGTAACTGCAGATTATGTGCACTTTTCTCCAGCAGTGATTTGTGTCATGCATTAGCCAGAGATGTCTGTGAATAACTAGTGAAAAAGCAGTCAGTGAACCTGGAAGAGGACACCTTTCAATAGGCTGAAAATTCCTTCTTCGAGCTATCACAAACCCAGTGTGAGGTAGATTTTAAAAACCAAATTATACGTCAACCCCTTGGCATGAATACCATATTCAAAACCAGGCAGATTGAAAAACCTCCTATAGGCCTCATAAATAATACTTGGCATTTGCTAACACAAGGCTTACATTTGTGAGATGTAAAAATTTATGTGAACCAACCACGATTTTCCAAAGCAACCTGCCTTTTTACAAACAAAGCCACTAGATAAACTTTAAGTAAAATAAAAATATAGTTTGAATGTTATGGAGTGAACATCATGACAGCAACAGCAACAGCATGGAACGCAGACAGGAAGACCAATCAGAATATAAAAATAATGGATGATTACATAGAGAGGTCTCAAAACAAATAACTAGTGCATGCATATATTCTACTACCCATACTGCGTAAAATACAACAAAAATGCACTCTCAACAATCTCCAACTCAGATGTTATGTAGTGAATGTATAGATAAGCAGATTTTCAGTTTTTTGGTTGTAATGTTATTGTGCCTACTAATTATACATTCAATTTGGGATATATAGATGTTGAATTTGTGGCTGGATAAGTTAATTTGTGTTAATGTTTCTCAGGCTCAAGTTTGCAAACACTTTCTGTTTGATTATAAGGCAGGCTTTGTAATGATGGCTTATCATTTTATATCATCCACTGGTATGTTCTGTTAGCATATAGTTTGGTAGTCTAACTTCTTGAAAAATGTTTTCAAAGACTAAGTTGGGAGACATTAAAAATAGCAGAACACACACTATTTTCGTATGCTTCTTTGATTATTTAGGCATAATTTTAATAATTGCCAATTACCAAGGCCAAATTCTATTGGCATGTAGCCTATAGCCAGGTGCATAAAAGCAAAGTCTACATGGATTTCAATCTGAACTGGCAAAACCAGCTCCTTTGGAATAAATGTTGAATACAACAATGCTTTGGGTTTGTATTGAAATATTACTTAGGCCTCATTCCCAATGAAACTATCATTCTATGTAAGATACAAAGTCTGCTGGGACTCTTGTTGGATGTAATCAGATTAACACACCTCCTCTTGTTTCCAATGTAATCATCAGCTTTTAAGTATTTAACTCGATGCCAAGGGGAGGCTTGTTAATGTAATTGCATACAGCGAGTGTCCCCTGAAGTTGAAAAAATCCACACAGAACAATAGTTTTACTGGAAATGAGCCCTGTCTATCACATAGTTAAAAAATGATATAAATTTAACAGTGGGGACCATAAGATTTTTTGACAGAACAGAGTTTCTAGATTTATTTTCAGTGATTTATTTGTCACATATTAAACTGCATGCCAAGTTCAAAACAAACTAACAACTCTATTCTAGTTCTCCGAAGATTAACCACTGTATCTTTCAATAATTCACTTTCCAATCCTTAACAGATACACCTAGCATGAAAATTTATTTAAAGCATAATGCAATGAAAATTATTTAGCAAAATGAGAAACATTTATTACACTGAAGTGTACCCGTTGTCTGGGTATTCTACTGGACAGATGAATCTAAGCATCACATCACTTCATATATATATAAACATTTAATAATTTAAAATATAGAATGAGTTGGGGTTGGGTAGTAATTGTGAAGGAAATGACTAGAAGCTATAAGGGGATGCATGTAGAGGAATTTGTCAAGGAGCTGAATTGGGGGAAGGTGCTGGACTTTTAATTTTTGAAGGGGATAAGAGTATACAGTGGGAATCATCTGAGATAGCCTACTGGTAAAAGAAGGCTGTTAGCACTGTGAGATGTCATAAAAAACTATGAAGTATGCTATTATATGCAACTTGGGCTTACTTTTTGGTGATAAGTGAGGAATTCTATATCCCGAAAGTTGTCTCAGAAAGCAATACGAACGTAACAAGCAATCTTATCATGTTGAAATTGTGCTGGTTAAAACAGACTTTAATTCCATAAAATTTACAAGAGAACATTAAAAAATATACAAAGAAAAATTATGTTAGCTTTATTTGTTATTACATTACACACACTAGTCTTCCGCTGTTTCTGACTTCACTCTCTTCAAAATCCCACAAATATCACTTGCTTTTATATAGGCAAAGTCGTAATATGTTGCCATGGGCTATTTTGGATGATTCCCATTGGTGGAAGAGGTATAAGGGTTAAGGAGTCAAATCTGGTCTATCTCTAGTTTAAATATTTTCTTTGTATCAATCAAGAAAATTTTGTTTACCCCCCCCCCCAAAAAAAAAAAAAGTTTTAATCTTTACTACTAATGGAGAGATATTTACAGAATACAATTTGTTTTGCATATAAAAACAACATGCATTTTACTTGCTCAATCTAATGGCCCATCTACTGATTGATATAAGTAATTTTAACAACCACTGTCCATGTGAGATAGATCTCCTACCTAGTTTTCTAACAACAGAGGACATTCCTCCGTTCACATTTATACACACCACATATGAATGCACACAAATAATATGCATTATGTACAGTAGGCAGTCGCTCAAGTGATTCTTTTCAAATAAATTAACATACAGCACATCATTTTCAATTCTTGTTTAGTGGCAAGTTTACTAGAAACATTTAAAATGGTTAGAATAGGATCACTACATGATGATGCATGCAACTATACTTGAGTAAATTCACCAATACATCAGGACATCTTGAATTTTCAAATGTATGTTTTAGGTTAGAGTAGTTAACAATAAAATAACAAACATATTCATTAACAAGTATGTAGATTAAATCTTTCAAAAGAACTCTCCACAAACTACAGATAGATTACAGTTTATGTATCTAGCAAAATCACATTGTTGGTAAAATAATTGGGTAAAACAGTAAGATGCTCAGAAGTGTGAGAGGTGGACAAAAGCTTATTTTATAGAGGGAACTTAATTCACAGAAAACGTAACAAAGTATCAGTTTAATATACAAATTTATAAAAAAAGAAGCATCATTGATATTGTAGAGAAAAAATGAGCTGTTAAATTCAACAACAGTTACAGGTTATGAGTTTGCTTGAGTACCAGATTCTTCTCAATAATGTCCTAATAACAACATCCAATTTCAGGGAAGCAAATACATGTTTAGTAAGGTGTAACACGTATCACTAATTTGTCTTCAAATTGTTTTTGATGCAGCTACATCTGCATATTTCTGGTGGGCAACTTCCCTTTCCCCACTATCTCTGGGATGTCTTTAAATCACTGCCACATGTATCACGATCTTTTCTAAATCTCATGACAAAAAAGATGATGAGTCCTATCACTGCCACACAGCAAATACCAATTAGGAGCCCAGCCCACCAAGGGAACGGAGACTGACCAGGCTCTGGTGTTTCAGTGGTATCGCCTAGAAGTAAAAGGGGAAATCGAAATTCTCACTTATGAAGAGGCATTTTATTGCTCTCTATCCAACAAAGTGCACGAAGAAAGCCAGTTTAATCATCTGTCTGAAAATTAAAAAATAAATCCAAGGCAACAGATACCTACAAGATGGGTGGTGAAGACTTAAAACAATTACTCTCAGACTGGTAGTTTTCACCTCAACCCTTAG